AAATATTTTCTGGCTTTAAATAACATACAAAGGGTTGACAAGCCATAAAAACGAATCAATCATAGTCAATCCAATCAACGAATGTATCTCAGTAGAAAGACGAATTTCCGATTCCATGAACAAGTTTCAAAGACTGTGTCAACTTCTTTGCTTCTGAATGTTCTGCTAGTTATAGAATGATCAGAATATAAATGATCAGCTACAGTCGCTAAACCTGGTGAATATGGAAGATGTGGAGGTCCGTCCCATCTGCTGGCAAAGGACACTTTTTCTGTTTACTGGACCAAGTTCTTAAATTCATAAAGTTTAAGTATCAAATAGGAAATTCATTAGAGTGAAAATATTTCTAGTAAACGTGCAAGGAACCTACGTTACGGCGGTGGAAAAGTGACTGAAGCCGAGATGCCAGGTGAGGATCAATAACATTGCGGATTCTGCTTTGTATTTTATATAAAATATCTAAATACATAGCAGAATCTCCGGACCAGCTATGGCAGCAATATTCGATGCATGGACGAATGGTAGACTTATAAATATGTAAGATGGATTATGGCGAGAAAACTATTTGGTATGACACAGTAATCCAGCTCTCATTTCGACTTAGAGCTAAATACATTCTTATTGTTCATAGTAGAGTCCGATAGTGTTATAAAAACCTCGGAGAATTCCAGTAAGATATCTTGAATCATTTCTAAGATACAAAGATTCAAAGCTTAATCTAACAATTGGACAATTTTGCTGTTAGAAAGAGAGAGGGGGGATAGGAAGACGGAGAAATATAGACAATTTGGGAAAATAGATGTAAAAGAAAATTGTATATTTATAAAATAAACCAGTGGAATGTGTTTCCGCTCTTTTAAGGGTTGCTTTTCTGCTTTTGATATTCTCGTCTAGACCATGAAGGGTGATCCATATTTAGGGCAGTTTCTCCTGTTTCGTTTTGAGCCCTCACAGCCATCTTAATTCATCCCTCTCTACAGGGTGGGAATACAGAAAGACTGAATGATATAAAAGAAAAATAACTTTTACAAACACATGAGTATCTTGAGGTAGTAAAGTTTGAACCATTTGAATCTTATACGGAAACATTTTAAAATCCAATTTCAGAAACTTCTGAAGCGATGTTCCTGTGATGCCTAGTCGAGCAATCCTCAAGGACACTCTGCCGTACAGCTTTCATCGTAGAAAGTTCTATGGAAACAAAAACGACACATACTTAAAATCAGAGACAATTTAAATTTCTATGATGAATATTCAGGAAAGAGGGTTAAGAAAATTTGACACTCACAAGATATATTCAAGTCAATAGTGACAGTTAAAGAGCTGGTACCCTACTCAACAAGCTTGTGTAAATAGATGACAGTAGAGGGATGGTGAAAAGATAAACCTTATCAACAGAAACAAAGGATAGGATGTTGTGGAGAGCCATTATAGCCCGCGTCCTTAAGGGACACTACACAAAATAAAATAAGATAGGTTGTCTAAAAATACCTAAATCACAAAATATAGTGTTTATACTGAATTGATCACTAAGAGTCAGATACTTTGTAAGTTCATCATGGATTCATCTTGCCTTGTGTCAAACTAAGAAACAAACCGGTGTCATCAATGAAAAAATCTAACTATCAAATATCCGTGTTCCTACGGAGATTGTCTTGTGCATTCGCTCTTATTTATCTGAGAAATAAACTAGAAGTTGACGCCTGCGATCTCGAAAGATTTACGGGACAATAATACTACAGATTGGCCCACTGAAAGATTGAATGATATAAAACAAAATAACTTTTACAAACAGATGAGCATCTGGAGGTAGTAAAATTTGAACTATTTGAATCTTATACGGAAACATTTTTAAATCTATTTTCAGAATCTTCTGATTTCTGAACCAGATATGGCAGCGATATTCGATGCATGTATGAATGGTAGACTTATAAATATGTAAGAAGATTATGGCGAGAAAACTGTCTGGCATCACACAGTAAAGTTCTCATTTCAGTTGAGCTAAATACATTCTTGTAGAGTTCAATAGTTATAAAATCCTCTTCCAGTGAGATTTTTAGTCATTTCTAAGATACAAAGGTTCAAAGCTTAATCTAACAATTACATAAAGTTGTTGTTATTCGGACAATTTCACTATATACAAGACATGAAAGAAAGAAAACCCAATCTAAAAGTTATATTTATAAACTAAAACGTGGGATGTGTTTTCGCTCTCATTTAAGGATTGCTTTTCTGCTCTTGACATTCTCGTCTCGACTATAAATAAATAAACTAGAAGTTGACGCCTGCGATTTCGAACATTTACGGGACAATAATACTTGGATTGGCCACTGAAAGATTGAATGATATAAAACGAAAAATAACTTTTTATGTTATAATGTTGATTTGGGGTTAGTAGAGACAAGCTAACAAAAAAAAAAAATAGGTTGGTAAAAAAGTAAGAAATCGCCTGAAAGAAGTCAATAATTGAAGAACTTATCTGTCTATCTCTTCCATGAACACATGTTATTTAAAGTCTTTGTTCACAGACTCAGACAAAACACAAACACATTTCTTGAAAAAGTTTGAACTATTTGAATCTTATATGGAAACATTTTTAAATACAGTTTCAGAAACTTCTGAAGCGATGTACCTGCGATGCCTAGTCGAGCGGGTAGAAGCTGATGGATCCTCAAAGACACTCTGCCGTGCAACTTCCACCACTGCATCAGTACGCACAGCGCGCTTTGGATCTCTTCCCGGAAGATCGCCGACTGATCCAGTTCTTTCAAACCGGACGATTAGGATCCGAATCATGATATCGCTAGGAAGATACTTTGACATTAAAATGTTGCCGGTATTTTCTCTGAGTTTAAATCACTGATCTTTCACTGGAAAGGGAAAACCCAATGAGTTTTACTCGATGTCAGACATCACACGTAGCCATTTTCCTAAACCTACAAAAAAAAAAAAAAAAAAGAAAGAAAAAATGATTTTGAACAAGTATATTTTCAAACCCCTCAGTTTTCATCGCTATATATTTTCTCTCAGCCTCAATTTCATTTTTCGTTTTTCCACTTTGTCAAAATTATTTTGATAAAAAATTATATAATTTTTTCAATACGTATATATATCAGGAGAGAGAGTGATTAAGATAGATAGATAGATAGATAGATAGATAGATAGAGAGAGAGAGAGAGAGAGAGAGAGAGAGAGAGAGAGAGTAGTGGTAACCACTTTTAAGCCAATAGCATCTTACCTTTCAGATGTTGTCTTCTCTTGACATAATATGTATTTTTTCAGTAGATGCCCGTATTTTGAGTAGACGATCCGTTTTATTTTAAACCGCATTTCTTCCGTCTACTGGACCTGTACAATGAAACATGATTTTTCATTAGAAATTTCATTATGACAAAAAGAAAATTTTATGAT